TGAGTTCAAGGCCAGCCTGGTCTACAGAGTGAGTTCTAGGACAGCTGGGGCTACAGGGAGACCCTGTCTGAAAAAGACCAAAAAAAAAAAAAAGAAGTAGGGATGTTGTCAGGTTTCACACCCTAGGAATCTCCATGCGAGTTGGGGGGTAGAGGCAGGAAGCTTCTAAGAGAGGCCTCCAGAAAGGGCTTTCCTTAAGGGTGGGTATGTGACTCCTTCCTGACGGTCTCCAGTGGAGGCCAGTCCCTAGTCTGAGCAGGGGAAGAGCAGAGCCTCCCTCAAGGAACCCTTAGGCCAGCAGGAAGGCAAGCCTTGATTCATCATGCTTTTCTCACCCTAAAAACAAATGGGCACTACTGAGGGCATTGACTGGAACCTGCCTGGCACAGAGTGGCTTCCTGATATCCAGGGCTTTGTAGAGAGGCTGAGATCAAGAGCCACCATGGCCATAAATACTGGCTGAAGTTGTACACTCTGCAGAGATCAGCTGGGCAAAGTTTGACCAATTGTTCACCAACCGACCTTTCCCCTGGCCTGTCTCTCATCCCCTTCCCTGGCATTTCTCCAGGTCAGAGCCACCCTGTCTTAGAGAAAGGGCCACAGAGAAGATTGCAGTGGACGTGGCTGGGCCGGGCTGAACTGCAATTTGGGGACCAGATTCTCCATGTGTCTACAGTACAGATGTGGCTGCTGCTCTCCCTCAATGATATGAAGGTGGCCCAATCCTCTGCCTATCCCTTACCCACTTTGTCCTTTACGCTTCCATTCTCCTGCCTCCATCCTCCCCACTCTATCCCTGGGGAGGACCTGAATGTTTCATGCCTCTTCTAAAAGGTGCTGTCTGTTGAGAGCCTGCTAGAGCTCTCGGGGCTCCCGCCGGAGGTGCTGAATCAGGCAATTGGGACTCTCACCTCATCAAGGGGCCCCTTGGATCTTCAGGAGCTGAAGGATATACCAGGAGGTACACATTCTGGGCCAGAGAGGACTCTGCTGTGAGCCAGGAACAGGCTCCTCAGGGCCCTCCCCTACTAAGTCACCAATGGTTATTTCAGGGGTGCTCAAGGTTCGAGATGACAGTGAGGAACCCAGGCCCAGGAGGGGCAATGTGTGGCTTATTCCACCTCAGACATACCTGAAAGCTGAGGACGAAGAGGGCCGCAACTTGGAGAAGAGACGAAATCTCCTAAATTGCCTTGTTGTCCGAATCCTCAAGGCTCACGGAGATGAGGGACTGCACATTGACCAGCTTGTCTATCTGGTAGGCAGTGGTGGGCCTGGCCATGGGTGTGCAGCCCACAGGAGGTGGTGGGTCAATATGTGAAGCATCTAGTTCACCATGTAGCCTCTCAGGGTGTGAGGAGTGATGCTGGGCTGTACCAGTTGTGCTTGGGGCCTCCAGTCCTAGGAGCATGTGATTTGTGTGGAAGTCAGTCAGTGGTAAGCACCGTGGTTTTGACCTGTCTCCTCTTTGGTCTTGGGCTACAGGTGCTAGAGGCTTGGCAGAAGGGCCCGTGTCCTCCCAGGGGTTTGGTCAGCAGCCTTGGCAGGGGGGCTGCATGTAGCAGCACTGACGTCCTCTCCTGTATTCTGCACCTCCTGGGCAAGGGCACACTGAGACGCCATGATGACCGACCCCAGATGCTGTACTACGCAGTCCCTGTAACTGTGATGGAGCCCCACACTGAGTCCCTAAACCCGGGCTCCTCAGGCCCCAATCCCCCACTCACCTTCCACACTCTGCAGATTCGCTCTCGGGGTGTGCCTTATGCCTCCTGCACTGGCACCCAAAGCTTCTCCACTTTCCGGTAGCCCTGGAGATGGGGTCCAGGGTGGGTGAAGTTGGGGGGGGGTCCATAGAAATAAAACAGGAATTTGATTATGTGACCTGTGTGCTTGGTGACTGTTGGAGATAGATGAATAGGAAGTGGGGATGGGGACCTTTCCTAACTGATAGGGAAGGAGCCCTCTGGCATTGATTGATGCAGCCTTCTGACATACCAGGAGACTTGTGAAGGTGAGGAAGGTGGATTGGGGAGCAAAAGAAGAGTTGGCTGTGTCCCAGCTCCTTCCTCTTCAGGAAGGGGACTCAATGGCCAGGGAGCCCTTTTCAGAGGGTGTGGTTAGAAGTACTTTTACCTGGTAGGCTGGACACCCAAGCCCGCCTTGGCCACTGGCCACATGCTTTGTAACTTGGACAGTTCATCAAATGGCTTCATTTTCCTCATTTGTGGAATTGAACAAGAGTGACCAAGTGACTCTGACAAATAAGAGGTGTGGAAACATCTGACAGAGGGATGACCCTGCCAACTAGTCCACATCCATTTTGGCCACTTCTAGGAGGAAGTGCAATCTACTGTTGCCTTCTCTAAGTACAGGTGATGGGACTTATTGCAAGCACCCAAAAACCTGCATGTCTCCCATCAATGGCTTAGGATTTGGGTTGGAAGCTGTGGTTTCCTTCCTCCCACAAGCTGTTCCATGGCCCCTCTTTACTCCAGTCTCCATCCCTCTGTCCTCTGGTCAAGCTCTTCGGACTACTACCTCCAGTTAGCCCCCAGTCAAGGCTGCTGCTCTGGTGCAGTCTGCTGTGCTGGCATGATTGGCTGCCCTGGTCCCACCCACAACAAAGCAGGATAAGGCAGGCTAAGGGACGAGGTGCCAAGGGTGCGGTAGACTGGGCAGAGTGACAGGAGAGGAGTTTATAGTGAAGCTGAGCAGTGACAGGTTAAGAGCAACAGAAGGAGAGGGGGAGGGGCACAGAGGCCAGAGAGAAGGCTCAGAGTGCCACCCAGAATAGATTTGAAAGGGTAAGGGCAGAAGTCAGGGCTTTGGAGAGTGAGGATATTCAGGATGAGGTAACTAAACAGGGCAGGGGTCCAGAGGACCAGAGGGCTTGCTGGCTTCGCAGCATTGGTTCCATGATGCCCTTGGTGGCTGGCTCACAACAAATGCCAGTCTATTAACTCATGGCTGACCAGACAGGCTGGAACACTAGTGGGCTTAGGGTACACTGGGGTTCCTGTCATTTACTTGGGTGCTTTTCATCCTTCACAGCAGAGACCGTGGCTTTTTATTGGTCCAGATCATGGTGTTTTTTTGACACAAGGTCTCACTATGTAGCCCTGGCTGGCCTGGAATTATGTAGACTAAGCTGGCCTGGAGATCCACCTGCCTCTGCTTCCTGCTAACAAGCTTGCACAACTAGGTGTGGCTTTCTGCTTCATTTTACTTTTGGCAGTCTTTCAATAGTAGCCAAGGCTGCCCTAGAACATTATATATCCTGGGCTGTCCTTAAACTTACCTCTGCCTCCCAAGTGCTGGGATTACAGGACTATGTCATCACACCCAGAGCCTGCACTTGAGCTAACTCAGGTGCCAGAGCTTTGTGTCCTTCCCTAAGCTCTGCCTGAGCTACAGGATCTGGTAGCCAAGCCTGCATGCACTGCAATAGGGAGAGTGTAGGACTTTCTTGCACTGCCTCATCTTCCAGGGCTGCTATTGCTCCCAGGAGCTCCTGAAAGGGCTGAGCCTTAGGCCATAGGATGTACTCACTGCACTGAGATCAAGCTCTCCAGCACCTGCAGTCATCCTGCCCCCTCAGTACTCCAGGGGCACCTCACGCCCTCACAGCTCATCTACAGTGAGCCAAGTCTACATCCAGCAATTTTTTCTTTTAATGTTTATTTTTGGTCTTTTTGAGCCAGGGTCTCCCTGTAGCTCCAGCTGGCCTGGAACTCAATATGTAGACCAGGCTGGCCTTGAACTAACAGAGAGCCACCTGCCTCTGCCTCCCAAGTGCTGGGATTAAAGGCACAATGTGCCACCATGCCCAGCCCAAGCAATTTTTAAAAGATAGTAGGTATTGGCTGGGCGTGGTGGCGCACGCCTTTAATCCCAG